AATAGTATCGGAAAATAATAAACATGTAAATGTTAACGGTAGCCTTTTCATGTTGTAATTTCTTACAAAGAACATAATTACGAAGACTAACAGAGAAGTGTAAAAAAATTGCAATTGTAGAAAACAATTAAATGCTATATTTTCCGCAATATGGTTTAGTAGACGTACATTTTTGATTTTAGTAGATTAATGAAATAGCTCCAACTTTTTTGCCCCATTTCTCTTAGCAAAACTTATCCGGACACGTAATTTGTACCAAAGTTAGATCCCGACATAATTAAGAAAACATTTTACTATGCAAATATATGTTAAAGAAATTCTAAAATCGCTGTGTCTTACAACTTAAACTATATCCCATTACGATTGTCTTAACCGAAAATCGAATCATCTAAAAATGCATCAGATAGTCCAGTAGTGGACGGTTATGTCTCATAAAATTCCTCGAGGATTGTCGATAAACGTTTGTTAGGTCGGAACGGGATCGTAAATGGTGCATTGAGGACATAAAATGCGGTCACCTTCCGATAGACTTCCCAGTGCGTTTCTCGCAAACTGTTTTATTTAAAATACTTTTGTCTTATGACAAAGTTTTTTTTTTTGTCGATATGAAATTAGACTGTTTAACTAATATGATATTAAGTCATCATCATCATCTCCCCTGCCTTATCCTACTCCCGTAGGGTCGGCGCACAGGGTTTTCGTCCTCCATAGCACTCTATCATCCGTCATCTCAGTCATCACTCCCTTATTGATCATGTCACCTTTCACGCAATCCATCCATCTTTTTCTAGGTCTACCTTTACCGGTGTACCCCTCCACATTCATAATAAACGTCCGTCCTGTTTGCGATTCATCCCTCATAACCACATACATACCACTCTAACCTTTTACTCCTTATTTTCTTAATATGATATTAGTAATATAAATAATTTAATTGAAATTATCTTGAAGTGAAGTTGGGTTTTTGTTGCATATATGTATGTATTTAAAATTTTTGAAAATATCTTGTTCTGTATTTTCTGTAACGTAACTAATACAAGATAAAGAAAATTGGTAAAAAGCGTATTGCAATTTACCTCTGTCTGTTCCTCTTTTAAATATAGCCCACGTTGATACTCAAGTTAGAAATTATTCAATATGTTTAATAAAACATTGATCTTTGGAATTTAGTGATAGATATATTGCAAAGACAATATAAAAAGGACATAATACAAGAACATGGCAACCCCCCGGAGCGGCAGAGCTATCACTTCCCTACACAACAAAAACACTAAAATGATATTACCACTATATAGGGTACATCCAAAATAGGTAAAGTAAGTTTATTATAGCAACCAGGTTCATAGATTATGCCACAGAGTAATAAAACAAGTTCCAAGACAACCGGCCAATATTTTAAAATTCGCATCCAAGCAGAGAATCTTCATTTTGTCTGTGTGACACTGAGTGACATCTCTGATTGTAGTTGGTCTTAGTTTAAGCAGTTTGAAGTCTAGTTTTTTCTCGTTACTAGTTTTCTGCGCATACGTTGAATGTCTTACGTATATCTTTGATATAACGTAATTGATCTATTATTTTGTATCTTATGTATTTTAGTGGCTTATTGAAGTATGTTTCGGATTAATTAAGTGCGCGTTTCGATTCCTATGACCTTATATGGAGGCACACTACACGATTTTTAGTTTTGCAACTAAACAGTTGAATTGGTTGTGAAACAATCGACAATCGTACAGCCGTTGTGCGAATGTTTAGTCAAAGATGTACGCCCACCTTGAATAATGTTATGCAATATGATTATTTGTTCGAAATTGAAATGTTTTAGGCAAATATTTACTGTAAAAGTGTTGTTTCAAATAAGCTTCATACAGCAAAATTACAATTCCTGCAGTATTAATCAAATATTCGTTGATTTTAATATTAGTATTTTCGTTATCGCATCGTACATAAAATTTATAATTATTTTTTTATAATTCGCTTACTCAAAGTTCTATTTATATTGAAAGCAAAGTTATTGTATTTGAAACATCTTGATCTTTTTAATAAAACATTTTGTTAGTTATAGCGTTAGATCGGATAGGGCTGGAGGTGAGCGCAATATTTCGGGTATCGGAGATAAAGCTAAGTCGGCCTGGGGTCAGTCGATCGGCAAATTATGTAAAGTATCCGGTCATTACGGACACTACTGACGGGCCCATATCCTTGTAGTGCGATCGACAAACCTTGATCCTTTGGTTACTTTTCAAAATGTTAGTAAACATTTTAACAGTGGTAGAGCCCGCTTTAACATCTTCGTACGAATGGGCCGGCTCGCCCGGTGTAATACCACGACCACACAGAAAACAGGCGTGAAGTGGAAGCAATTCCGCGTTTCGTCTGAAGGGTTGTGGTGCCGAAGGCCTATTTTTAGTAACTTTCCCTTTCCACCCTTTTCGTCAGAGGAAAGTGTGGAAAAGAAAAGTGTATTTGACGGTGAAGGAGACACATAGGAAGAGGAAATTTCCTCTTTATGTGCGTCTGCTCCTCCGTCAATTAAGGGTAGGCAACGCATCTGCAATTGCGGATGTCTATGGGCAGCGGTCGCTTTCCATTTCGGTTTATTCAGGTGACCGCTTGATCGTTTGCTACCTTATATTATAAAAAATATACTTAACAGATGGCAAAAGGGGTAAGCATAACCGATACTGAATACATACACCATGTAGGCAAAACTAGCATTTCACTATATTAATAATTCTATACCAGTATTTGTCACTATTTAACATAGTTTTAATTTTTACATAAAAATTTCATAACATCATATTTACTCTCTTATATTCTCCTGAAGTGTAGGATTCTGTCTTAATACTGAAAATACAAAAGAAAAGTCGTTAACGTTTTTAATTTCTTTAAGCATAATCTATGCTAAATAGTAACCCTAACTAAAAGTAAATAAGCCTTTTACATGCATAGGCAAGTAGCCTTTGAAAGTACTACAATCAAATAGGATCAAGACCAATCAATCGTAGTATAGTCTGACTTGTTCGCCGCATGCGAGTTACTGCGGCCGTATTGAGGGTAGTTTTATTAAGAATTACAATTATTTATTTACAGTGGGCAATGTCCGATCTCACATATATATGCTAATATATGTCTATTTGTTTCCACTCAGGGTCAGATGATGGTATATTTATTTAATAGTATTGGCCATGGATAATATTGTGTTAAGTTTGTTTGATAAATTATTTACTTTAACAGCGGTAGAGCCCGCTTTAACGTCTTCGCACGAATGGGCCTGGTCGCCAGGCCGTGAAGTGGAAGCAATTCCGCGTTTCGTCTGATGAGTGTGGTGCCCTAGGCCTAATTTTGGTGCCTTTCCCTTTCCACCCTTTTCTTAAGAGGAAAGGATGAGAAGGAAAAGTGAATTTGACAGTGGAGGAGACACAAAGAAAGGGGAAATGTCCTCTTTATGTGTGTCTCCTCCGTCAATTAAGGGTAGGCAACGCATCTGCAATTGCGGATGTTTATGGGCAGCGGTCGCTTTCCATTTCGTGGGATTCAGGTGGCCGCTTGCTCGTTTGCCAACTTATATTATAAAAAAAATACTTGTAATAAAATAAAAACGTGTGACGTTTGCATTACTATTGACCAGTATTTGTTATTTAAAGTAAGTACAAAAAACCGGTTACAACACTAAGAGGATAATCAATATTCAGTTGTAATATCGATGTTATTGTTTATTTGTATTTTTAGTTGTTGCTCGCGACATCGACCGCGTCGAAATAAAACATGTTACTGATAACATAGCTCTTTTATGAAGATAGAAATTTAAAAACAAAACATACAAAAAAACACAAATCTTTCTGCTTTATAATGTAAGTATACATATAGATAAATTTCACTTTAGTATTAGACTTCTTAAGATTAAAATCTCATTGAAAACTAATTTTCGTCATGTTTGTCAAATCAGAAATTTCCGAAGCTCTTATCAAAGTAAATAACCTTGTTAGATCGACTCGCGATATTATGCAAATCTTATTATTCATACTGTTTTTGGAAAGGGAGCGCAACGGAAAAGAGCCCTCTAATCATACACTACCAACCTTGTATGCTTTGCTTATGACCTATTCCAATTTTATCCTTATTTCATAAGCATTAAGAATCATTATAGAAACCTATTTGATTTTGAAAGCGATCTTACATCGTACAGTTACCAACTTGAGATATATCTTTAAGAAAATCAAGAAATATACGATTTTGAACTTTAAGACAAAGCACTAAGAATTATTAAAAGCGTTTTAGATTTGGAATGAGCGTTTTATTAAATTGTGTAATGACGCTACTGGAACAGAGATGGCGCCAGAGGCAATGCAAATTTTCGATAATGTAATTTCCCGTGATGAAAAATTGGGGATTTCGACAAGAGATCTGATTGGCAAAACATCTGTAAGTTATTCCAAGTTATTATAATATAATGAGATTAAGATGTGCCCTCTTTATTATTTCATAATGTTTGTTTGATGAGGTATGGGATTTGTCTTGAAAAACTCTTGGCGGGAAACGGAGCGTTAAAATTTTGCCACAAAAATTAATATATCATGTATAAAATATTATTTTTCTTATGTGTTAATTTTCAAATTTAATTTTTATAGTTATATTTTCGAAATATTAAGATCTAAGTAGGTATAATTAGAATTACAGCACAGTGTAGATCCTATCTCTATGTCACCGTCATTCTTCTTATTTCATGACCATAAGGAAAGAAAAATTTACAAGACTACTGAGTCATATTGTGTATTTTACAGATAATTGTAATGTTAAAAATAATTCTATGCTACTTTGAACGGTTAGTAGCGCCATCTAGTGTGGAGTAAAGTAGAATTCTACCAAACATGCTCTCAAAAAGGTGCAGTACTTGGGGGATAGATGGCGCTTGTAGTAAGAAGTAGCTTGAAAACTTAGTTTAGTAAACTTATTTAATTTTAAAATGTGATTATTAATATTTATTAAATACCTTGTTTCAGATACTATGCACAAGAGAACTGGTTAAGTAAATTTTAAATACTTTTTATCTTTATTTTATTATAAGTATTTTTTTTATTATTGAAGGAAATTACAAATTTATTAGAAAAAAATGAGAAAAAACTATACATTATTTACGCTAATTTAATATGCAAGATAGGCTATTTATAAGGTTTACATTGTAACCTTAAATGTTAACCCTTTAATTCGTAAGAATTGCAGTTTTAATTCTTCAAGAACGGGCTCTATTAGCTACGGAAGGGTTGACATCAAACGGACCTTGAAATTTATTCTTTTGCTTAAAACAAACAGTCATTGGATTTTGTGTTTTATGCATTTTAATTATATACTATTACAATGTTATTATAATTTAACGTAATAAACAGATTTATTTTACATGCTTTATAGTAAAAGTAGGTCCTAACTTGAGTTAATATTTATTTACAATTTTACTTAATTATTTCATCATTTTGTCAGTAACCCTTAATTTTTCTGTTAAAATAGTTTACTTAGACACTAATAAATACACTAAAAACTATATAAAAAACCTTTCTCTCATGTTAAATTCCACAAGAACAAGGAAAACATTACTTTCCCTTCGCAACAGTTATAATTCCCCTCCGACAATTCGTCGGTATGTCACTCGACGACATCTTTAACCCTGTCGATAGAATGACGCGGGGTCGATATGACCCGGAATCGAGGGTCAAAATAATTTTTTTTTTCAATAAAAACGGTATAATTAGTAACTTTTAGGTGAGTAATTTGTTGCTATTGTAAACTATCCCGATACAACATTTAAAATAATTGTAACTTTTTTTATTATTTAAATTAATTATTAATTAGAGTCAAAGCGTGTCCTTCTTTGAATAAACTATCGCACAACTGTTTAGTAGCGCTTTGATTCCTATGAGCTTATATGGAGGTGCGCACACTACTCGATTTTTAGTTGTGCAACTAAACAGTTGAATTGGCTGCGAAACAATCGACAATAACACGACAGTTGTGCGAAAGTTTAATCAAAAGTGTTTACGTACGCAGTTACAATTTGAAATAAGATCAGTGATACATCATAGTAAAGTACAGGAGGTCACAATAAAATGAATAATCATAATTCATAATCGTTATCTATACTATTATAATGAAGCGTAAACACACACTTCTTTGTTGCCTAAGATGTCAGCAATTACAGCACATTTTTGAATAATTCTTTCTTTAATAAAAAGCCCTACACTTACGTCACGCTTTAGGATATAAATTTTCTCGGCATTAAACTTAGGGGGGTAAATATTTTGGATAAAAATCCTAATGTGGAAAAGAGACCATAGGTTGCTGCCGACATCAAGGAAGCAAGGTTGTCATCAAGTCATGTCATTTTGACATTTGTAATTGATAATTTGACACATGTAAATAATAAAATAAAATATTCATCATTTCATGCGAATGAAGTCGCACGGAAACAGCTAGTAATATTATAATTGCGAAAGTTTAGATGGATGGATGGATGTTTGTAGCCTAAACGGCTTAACGGATTTCAATGAAATTTGGTATTTGGTAAGGGATAGTCTTAGCTAAGATGGAGTCGCGGGCGAAATATACATCAGCCGGCCATAATATATGTAACAACTTTTACCGGTAAACACGATGGTAAACTTCAATATAATATCCATAATCTCGTATCCATAGCAACCGTAATCCACCGGCCTTTAGATGGATTATCTGGCGTCGGCGAAACTTCAAGCAGAGTGACGCGGGAAGAATTTTAAATCACGCCTCTGAAGCAGCAGGCACTGACACGCCGGCACAATATTTGCGTATGCAAAGACACGTGCCTTGAGAAAGGTAGTGGATATTACTTTGAGAACTTTCAGACTGTATATAGGAATTTTAAAAAATATACTTCGTTTTCGACTGTTCTTGAAGACCTGCAAAAAGCGTCACCAGGGCGCAGAGTCGGAAAATGTAAAAAGAAAAAATGCTTTTAACAAGACCATATTAATGGGAGCTACTAAACTCCTTAGATTAAACCTAAACTAAATCGTAGGTTGACGACGCCCATGTCCTATGGTCTAAGCTAAATTTCTATGTTAAAGTGTTATTCGATTCGCATTGTTCTAAGGCTCCAGTCGGTCTTATTTTTGAAATTAATCAATTTTTACAAAATATATGTTATTAGGAGTATTTTGTCTCGTATTTACCTTCCTTAAAAACGCACCGATTTGCAGGCAAATGAATTTAAATAAAATGATTCTTGAATCCGTACTCCAAAGTCATATCTTACTAACCGTAAGTAGCAGAGAGATGGATGTACGGAGCTTCCAAGCTCGCGCGGAATAGACTTTGGCAAGTCGCAATTTATATGCAAATACTTCGCGCACCGTCTTTGAATACCTGCCGAGACTTCTGTGTAGTCAGGTAACAGCTTTCATGACTTGAAACTTCACTATCAAGGAATGTATTTGATACAGTAATCAGGGACACCCACCGTTTATGAAACGATGACGTATTCTCGACCCAGTAGCGCCCTCTACCTTTTTTCTCACGTAATCTAGAAGTCAGAATTATTACTAATATTATGAAATTTGGCATGGATCTGGAAGATTGTCTAGAAGAACACATATGCTGCTTGTTTTTGTTTTTTTTTTCCACGCGGATGAATTCGAGGGCGAAAGCTTGTCAATATAGTATACATACATACAAAGAGGACATAACTCTTACAAAAGTGTAGCCGCAGTCAACAAGAACAGTAATAAGTGTGGAGGTACACCGGTAAAGGTAGCAAAAAAGGTGAAGGACATATTGCGTGAAAGGTGACTTGATCAAGGAGTGACGACTGAGGTGACGGAAGATAGATTAACCTGGAGGTAGAAAACGTGGTGCCGGGTAGATCAGGTGTGTTCGTACTCGAATTTAACAGTACTTGTAAATAAATTACTAATAAATCGAATTTATATCCCCTATTTAAGTGTTTAACATAATTTTACGAAGTTGTCACTTCTAAATTTAAACTAATGCCGTCTCCCCTTGAAAAAATACTCGATAAACCATAGTTACATAATAAGACCCCCATTTGACACGGTTTGAGGATCTTTTTATATCCCTTTAAAAGAAACGCGTTTTTTTATGTGTTTGTACCTGAATAATTCAAATATTATCAAGTACAGCGCCATCTATTGATCAAAAATTAAATAAAATGCAATTTATATTTATGAATGGCACTTTTGTTTATTATTGCCAATCAGTTTGCTACTGTAGCTTAAGTTAAACGGTTCAATAAATAAAGGCGCGAGCAGGCAGGTGCGTAATTCCCGAATGCTCTGGGGAACAGTGTGCACGGGCCCTTACGTTGCGAGGGAAAAGGATTGCCTTCTTTATTATTAGCATTTTCTCTTTACAGATACGCTCTTGTATGCTACAGGATGTTCTATTTTCCAATATTGATGTAGACCATTATAAAAAAAATATTGCGAAAGAAAAAACTAATTGCATGCTTAGTGTGTTAGGTGACTTATCGAGGGAACTAGGATATATGATTTATCTACTTTTTTTTGTTAGTTAAATCACCAATGTCGATATTCAATTACTTACATACGTAACTATCTTTAAATGTTGCTTAGTTGCGTATTAATTTCTCGAATCACCCTGTATATTCTTGCACCGCGGAAATATGTTAAACTAAGCACCTTGCATTTCCAAATATAAAAACGCTCTAACCTGTGTAATGACGATTTAAAGTTGCCGTCGCGAGCCATTTGCCTTTACAGTATTGTCTAAATCCACAACCAGTATTACTGACCTCTTAAAATTTAACTGGCTTTCAAAAATGTAAAAGAAAAGTTGTAGATGCGAGTCTATCTTGAATGGTCACATTCTTTATAGACCCCTCTTATTGTCTAAGGTAGTAGGACTATAGACAAGCGTTTTTATTATCTGCGGGGGCTTTAAAGTGAACTCACGGGCCCTTGGGGTTGTATTGGGGTGACATTCTGTTTTGATGATTGTACAAATGTTTTACATCTGTGGATGTTTTGTGATTTTATTTCATTTTAAAGTATAACAATAAAACGTAATTCTTATGAAAATATTAGTATAGTTCAGATAGGCTTTTTCTAGATTATGACATACAGAAATTGTTAAATGAAAACAACATTTTTAAATTATAATAAATTATTTTCATGAATAAAAATTCAACTAAATTTTGTTATGGAAATGTACATCTTCGTTATGACGTCATTTCAAATTTAAGTTACGTCAAAAATGACGTCATAACAAAGATATTTAAGTGAGCAAAGCTCAATATTAGTAATCGGTGAGAGCATTGTAACATTAAAATGCGTCAATTGGTTACAATAAAAGGGCGTTTTCATCATAACACTGTAATTAAAAATTATTTTGCATTACACATTTTGAAAAACAAATGAGTTATTTTGTTAAATTAATACGTTACTTTTGAATTATCCGTCATAAGCAAAAACTATTAACTTGTCCTCTCTTCGCCCGAATTTTTTACATTCTTGAACATTACTACTGTTTGCATCACTTTACTCTTATCTATCTAATAATAAAAAAAGGAAAGAATGTATTTTGGTACATATTAGAATAACTTAACAACTGCTAGACGAATTTCAAAAATTCAATCAGAAAAAACTACGTTATCAGAGAGTAACAGCTGTATTTTTTTATTACACTCGGACGAAGTTCTGACTCTGTTCTTCTGTTCAACAGCTAGTAAGTAGAGATTTGATTAAGAGATACAATAGTTCAGTGAAAATACCCCTTAAGTATTAAGAAATGAACTTACTATTCCCGGCCAAGTTTGGTAAGTAATGTACGGTGACATTGACGGCGGTGGAGACATATCAAATAATATATTCCGGTCAGGAATCAAATCGACTACCGCTTCCTGGCGATGCGACACTTGCCCAACAATTTAATGTTGCATTATAGTTAGAAGAAAATAATTTATTGTACAAAGCGATAGATATTGGTATAGACGTGCCACCGGCAAATTGTGTGCGCCAGT